ATACACACAACTTTAAAATAATGTAACAAATTGTGGATTTTCAAAATCAAAACTTTTACTTAACATAACTATTTATTTATATATTGTTCGATACTTCATCATTTTAAGAAAATCTAATAGTCTTTAAAATGTATTTTTTTTTTCAATTTATAATTATTTATACGGATTACAAATAGACGTACTACGTTTTGTATTGGACGGAAATAACTTTTTAGGGCAATACTAAGATACAATACGATATTTCTGGTGAAGTCATCATTATTATGCATTTATGCAAATTTTCTCCTATTAAACAAATTTAACTCCTATGAGTTATTATCGACCACGCATAAATAATACTTGGGCAATATTTACCTTTAACAAATAAATATTTACTACGACTTATTCTTGACCATGTATTAAATTTTATTATTATTTCAAAATTTCATTACTAAAAGAGGCGCTTAAGTCATAGTACTCAAATAATAATGTAATATACACTTTATACTATGCTATTAAGTTATCTATTTCTTTAAATTTATTAAAATAATATTTTTATACTGAATTGACTCTTTTCAATCGATATCTGTCAAAAGATTGTTTGAAATAAAGAGTTACTTGATTTCAGAAATTCTTCTTAGTGTAGTAAGTTTTTACTTTCTAAAAACAACAATTGAGAAATATTTCAGTTATGAGTCGGACAGTTCACTTTTTGTAATAAAGGTTATTTCTCTTTCTAAGCTAATTATTTATAATTAAAATAATTACTCATCGCATTTGTAGATGCAAACGTATATAGGTTCATAGGACCATGCTAACTTATTTGTCCACCTCGTTAAAAAACAAAATTACTACTTACATAAATGTTAATTTTTTTAGAAGTCACATTTTAGTTTATTGATGTCTATTCATTTTTATTGCTCATCGTACAATAGTTTTTGAAAATAAATTTACAAACAATTATATAAATATAAAGTCATCCAATTCTTTGCACACATTGGAGGACTAGGATGATTCGACCAAGTTACAAAGTATTATGTTTTTAATTGTAATCTGAGGTACAATCGCACTTAAGAACCAAAGCCATCCCGAAGCTACATGTATAGGAGGCGTTATGAAAAATTATTTGTGTCAAATGAATAATTTTTCTAAATGATGTAGAGTTTTTATTTTTTATTTTTTTATTAAAATCTCCTTATNTCTAATATTTTTTAATTGTAATCTGAGGTACAATCGCACTTAAGAACCAAAGCCATCCCGAAGCTACATGTATAGGAGGCGTTACGAAAAATTATTTGTGTCAAATGAATAATTTTTCTAAATGATGTAGAGTTTTTATTTTTTATTTTTTTATTAAAATCTCCTTATTAATGAACAATTTCCAACTAAAACAATTGAATTCTACTTTCGGAGAATGGCACCCCCATATGTTTGATAGATAATATATACTTAATACTTTATAAAAAGTAAGCGTCTTTAGTACTTTAAATCTATATAAGAAACTATACATCACTCCTACTTGACGAAAAATAACACGAATTTTTTGATAGAAGCTCTCTCAATTTTACATGAAGCATTGATTAAATAATTATACTTCTTCAAATACTCCAGAAACACAGATCTGCGCCGAATAACGTATTAGCATTTCATAATAGAGTTATTAATTATTCATTATTTTCCATTATTCGTTTGTAGAAAAAAATTTTACAAAATAAAGGAAGTTCATAACTTGTCAAAATGTATTACATTTAAAGAATCAATTAAATATTGATTTGACATATTTATACATAATGAAAATTTTCCATTAAGATTAATAACTAAATAATTTTATTTAATCATCCAATTTCATATTTATGGAAAAACATTTGTATTAGACACACAAAAAAAGTGGGCCCTCTAAAGCATAATTGGGGAAAATAATGTTTTATGGATAGTTGATAAGCTTTTTTTTTTTACTTAATTCAATTGTAGTATTTAAGGGCACCATGAATTTGTAAATGGAGGCCTAAAATCAGTAAATTTTATTTAAAAAAAATTGTTTAAAACAAGAATGATTATGTTTTAATGAATTTTGTAGTTCTATCTAGTTCGTAATTTTTTTCTAATTATTTCTAAGGAACAAAAACATAAAAATATTTTCAAAAAAAAAATGATAATTTCAGACTCTAAATATAAGTTTTGCTTCATTAATTTATCAATAAATTTAATTTTTTCCTAATTTATTACGTGGTAATAACGCTCAAAAACTATTTTAATTTTAATTTTACAGTCATTAATTCATACAGATTTCAGGTTTCAAAAATTATTTACTATACAAAATAAATAATTGCTTTTCATAGGGTAAGATAATTTTAGGAAAGTACAATAAAAACAATATGGCTCCGTTAAATTGAAGTACATGTGTAGGATCAATTCGCACTTATTCGAAAGTAGGTTGTAAAACAATTGAAGTAGGAGGACGAGTTATTGCCTCATTAAAATATACTCATTCGAGCCGGTTGTCTGTCTTGTTGAGAATTGTTTCTTCCTTTGACAAAGGCACGCCCACGTTATCAACTTTCCGGTGAAGAACTTATGAGTGGACAAAATTTTCAGCAAAATATTTTCTTATATTTATAGCGGTTAAAATCACATTACTGTGGGTGCTATTTTTTATATGCTCCCAACAAATGTATAACGGGGTTATTTAACTTGTTCATGAATTTGTTAACAATGATAAATGAACGCATTTCAATGAATAATTTATTCAGTTTGAATAGACAAAATCAACATTGATTATGTTTGCCAATCGATTACGGTATTACTAGGTGCAATAATAAAACAAACTGGATATTTTTTCCTTTATTGTTCAATTTACATATACATTTATAAATAATAATATAATCAGTTTAAAGATAGTCTTCTACACTCATTATTATTTTAAATAGTCGTATATATCTTTAAAAATACATACAGTCTACCATTAACTATTACATTTTAAGCATACTATTTAGAATTAAATTGCATAACTTAAAGATCTTTAAATTTACAAAAATATCTAAAAAAATGTTCTTTAATTTCTTTTAATCTTAAATATAATATAATAAAATGAAATAATATAATATTACAATTATTATATCAATTAAAATGATAATTGTTAAGACGGTTTGCAATAAGGGGGTTGTAGCCCTCATTCCGAAATATATATTGTTTAATGTTTTTTAAAGTAAAAGTAAAAATTACTTGTTTAATGGAACAAGTTCCAGTTATATAATTTAATGTATAGTTGTTAAATGTACTATTGGTGCAATTAATTTAATTGATTGACATTGACAAATGTACCAATGACAATGGCAATAACTAATTACTAATTTATTTAATAAGATCTTTCATTTTTCATAATTAATTAATATTAGTTATTGCATATTGTTATCTGAATAGCAATGAATAATTTAATTTATATTTTATAAATAATGTTTTTTTTATGAAAATGTACAGAGTTAAAATTGATTTATTTTAATAAGCCCTAGTAAATAACAAGATAAAAAAAAAAATTAATGATTCAAGAAAATATTTTTGTCAAAACTACTATTTGAAAAAAGTAAAACAAATAAATTGTAAAATAATAACTAAATATACAAAATGACCATTTGGTGTTATAAAATTTTAAATTTAAATACATTTTTTTATTTTAAGCAGATTATGACTGTTCAAAATTTCTTTGATATCATCAGAATTCTAATATATTCTATTTATTTTACAATAAATATATTTTTAACCATGTTTATTAATGTCTATATTTTAATGTCATTTATTTTTCAATAATTTTTTATTGCCTTATTATCAATTTAAACTAATGAATAGATATGAAGAGAGGTGCTGCTATTTTTATAACTAAACATTTTCTGGCCGTTTTTTCCTTCTCACCTAGATATGATTATGTCAATAACTTCCAAAATATTAGTCCAAAAGTTTCTATGGACCTGTCATTTTCCTAATTAGACATTGATCTATTAAATAAATTTAAGTTAACGCCCTTATAATATATAAGAAGTGAACATAAAAAAAACTTTGTAATTGAAATATTGAGAAAACCACTTAACTTAAAGTATCAAATAAAAAAAAAAATAATTTTACTTTTATTTTTAATTAATTAAGTAGTCTCTAACAAGTGAATCACTTAATGTATATATTATAGTGTTTATTTAATTAAATTATTAATTAGAATAAATTATTGCAATTTTAACTTCTTAACCAATTAATCTATAGATATATAATACTATATTAGAACTTTGTAAATCCATTACCACAAAAGAAAGAATGATATCCCTGAAATAAGACACCTTTTAAATCTATATATATAAACTCATCCATCATCAATATTTAAACACCAAGTTTGTCGTAGCTTTTCTGTGAGCAGGAAATAAATACAGTTAATTTATGAAATCTTTTTGATCCCACATTGATTCACTGACAGACAGCAGATCAATAACTACAATACATAAATTATAATTCATGTGTAGGTATATTAAATTGCTACGAGGTTATTTAATGACAAAAATGATTACCTCATTCTAGGCACATATTTAAGAATTTGTTGTTTGTATTATAATATATTACAATATTATAATTTAATTTTTACTAACTATTTTTTTATTAATTTGATATTTTAAAAATAAATTATTTACAAAAAATATAGTTTTCCAAAATATATTACAAAAAACATTGACTGGATAACATTTTTTTACCATTAAAATTTAGAAATGGTTATTTACAAAAATATGTTTTAATTAAAAATCGAAAAAGTGTTCAACTCAAATAAGTCATTAGATATATTGAGTACTAGGTGACAAACAATGGTGAAATTTATGGCGTTTAGTTTGTTAATTAAAATATACTCTATATTTATCTATAAATAAAATATTCATTTATATTTTATTCGTATATATTTATTTAATAAATATATATTTATTAATAATTTTTGTATAGCAAAGTTTATTGTATTAAAAATATTGATGATGTATAAGTTTACTAGCTAAATATTACTTTTTTTTTTAATAGAAGTGATAAATAAATTGTGTATTCATTTTTTTTTTTTTTTTGTAATTTTACACAACCGAATCGCTGTAAAATAAAATAAATTAAAATTGAGTTATTTTAATCAATATTTTCAGTATTTTTCAGTTATAAATTATAAACTTTAAACACTTATAATCGTGCAATAATTATTGCATCAATGGTAAAAAACAAAAGAATTCATCACACGTCTACATAATATAAACAGTTCTTGGGGCCCTGTGATCACGTAAGTTGCCTCAATAAGGAGGCAGTTTTGAAAGTAAAAACGAATAATTATGGCATTAAGTATATGTGCACATACACAAGGGGATTTGTTACTATAAAAGGATATGAACGAAGGTCATCAACTATTGATGATCGTCTTTTACTGATGGTTTATATACAATTACTCTCTCCGTTATATAGATACCTTATATTTCCTAGCCAATAAAAGCTAACGAGCATTACATTAGCTTTATAAAATGTTAAACTTAAATAACATCAAGACGAATGTCAAATTTTTATTTATCCTTCTATTTAAACTAATAAATAATACATTATTTTACATATCAATATGGTATTAATCTTAAAAGTGTAGATAAATGAAACTAGTTTTTTAATAATGCTAAATAGTTTAGATTAAAACCTACATTCGAAATTATAGTTACCATTAAAGATTATATATCATATTTAATGATAATCACCCAATTTCAATTTCCGTTGCGGATTTTTTACTATATTAGAATTTAAATTTAATGGTTTAATACTAAATAAATCTAACCTTATATACAGACACGGACTTAGAGGATAATTTTTTTTGGGGGACAGTTATATAAAATTGTATAATTTTTTTTAAACTGTTTTGTAAATCTAATCTGCCAAAATTTTAATGTTATTAAAATAGTGTTGTTGACTGCTAGTCTCGTAACCAGTTTGACACTGTTTATAAGGATTTATCTATATCCAATAATCATCATTATTGCTAAAGTTTGTTATTGAGGTCTCTTTAAACAAGATTATTTTAAGTACATATTTTACAGTTATCGGATAATTGATAATATATCGAAAAAAATATTTGAACACTAGAGATTTTTTTGTTTAATAAATAATATTTATACGTTTGATTGTTACGCCGTTATTCACTGAATTATGTTGATACTTCTATAATTTAAATAATTTAAATATAAAAAAAAAGAAAGTAGAAAATATTATATACATAAAAAATTTTAATTCTTGATTATTATAATTATTATAATAATGCAATTATAAATTATAACTATTATTTTATATAAATCACAAAAATGACGTCACTTGTGTAGTTACTAAATAATATAAGTAAAATATAAAAGGCATTGCTTGTCAAACAAGTATAGTTTGTAGTAGTTTAGATTATATGCAAATGACCCATCATTTTACTGTTCACTTGATTATTTATTCAATGAAAGTACTGTAGAATTTTTACAATAAACCGTTGAACTGAATAATATATCTTTAAATAGTAAGAAATTTATTTTATAAAGTAGCGATAAAAAAAATCTAAAAAAACCATTGAAAATCAACAAATCTATTATTAATATACAGTCGACAAAAATTTTGGTTTAGAGGATAAAAGTCAAATATTCTGTTCGAATAATAAAAAATATGATTGATTTATCAGTTAAAAAAATGCCGATGGTAACTTTTTCAATCATTAAAATGGTTATGAAATTAAATTACTACATAAACGCATTTATATTTAGAAAAATAATAATTCCCGATGAAAAATTAAGAATATGTAACTCTAGGTCCGACCCTTTGTAGAATAAAAATATCTGCATAAATAATTCTACATCAGTCTTTTATTATTATTATTAATGAGCAAAAAAATGGTAGCACATTGTGGACGTGGCATAATTGGAACTAGTATAGATAATATTTTACAGCCATTAAAAACACTATTATAAGAAACGCTTCGATACAAATCTGTAGATAGTGTTTAATTTTAATAAATTGGTGGATTATTCTAAAAGCAAAATTAACTCCTATTTTCTTCATTATTCCTGATTAGTAGTTTTTTGATTTAGAAGTATAATATATACTTCTATATGAATAAATATTTACTATATCAATTAAATTAGTATGAGATTGATATTTAATAATTTAGTAAAGTAATTTTTTCGGAGAATTTATAAAATATTATTAAGAAGTTATTACTTTTATGGCAAATGTGTGTAAAAACTGAAGGGCTTGATACAAAAATGTTCAGAAAATAAGTTGTGGTTAATTATGAATAAATTATCTACAAATAAATTTCGGAGTCAAAAATATACTTTTGTTATTCAACTTTTCGTGTTGAATTTTGTTTTCCACCTCAAAAAAAAAAAAATTAAGTAAAAAATTCAAAAAGTTATTTTAACTGGCGGGGTTCGAGCTTTGTACTACAAACTTATAAGACTGAATAGTTAATAACGCAACCACTGTGATTGTGATGAATAATTTTTATTTATAAAAATATTTTATTTTATAAAGATTTATTTAAGCTTGTTCAAAAATTCAAAGTCGCTTTTCTTAACTTTGAGGAGGTAAAATAATTAAAACAAATTTAAATTTATATTGAATTTAAGTTAGATTCATGTAAATTTTATAAAAATTAATGGACTCATAACTATGACAAACCCTTATAAAAGTATTTAAAAATAAATAAAAAAAAAATTTAACACAATAATAGCATGTTTTTTAACTATGGTAGCCATTTGCAAGTAGAGATAAGTCATCGGAACAAATTTTTTTTTTTAATTATTAGTACATAACATAGGTTTTAATTTGACATATGTTTAAAGGACGCAGTATTTCCGGAACATTTTCAAAAGTTAAGTTGCTATTGTGAATCCCCCCTGTGGGTAGATATGAGTCGGGTAACAAAAAAATTATATCAAACGAAAGGGAAATACCTAAAGTTTAAATATAAAAAAATATTATTTTAATTTGTTAATATTTCAAAAAGTTATGGCAGTTTTAAGTACCAAAACATTGATTTTTACACTAAAATTACATTTTTTGTTCAATTTTGACAGTCATTCGCACATAGAAGAAAGGACGTCGGGATAAGTTTTTTTTTTAACTAAAAGTACATAATGTAAGCTTCAATTTAGCATATGTTTAAAGAACGTAATATTTCCGGAACATTTTCAAAAGTTAAGTTCAATAAGATGACTTTTGTAAAAAAGTTTCTATTTTAAATCCCCTCTGTGAGTAGATAAAGGGTCAGATTATCAAATCAAATAATTTATTTTATCAAATAAAAAATTTTTTAATCATTCATTTTTCAATAAGTTATGGAAATTTTTAGAAAAAAATGTCAAAATTTATCAATTTTAAAAATTGTAATTTTTTGGGGTATTTTCACCATTTACAGGAACGAGGAAAAATTTTTTAATTTTTGTGGGTAATGTCTTCAACTAGATACGATTTATGATCTTTTGACGTATCGTTGTGAAAAATCAGTCCAGGAGAGCTGAGAAAATAGTGGCAGACACAAAAATAAAGTAAAATAATAAACACATCAGGGTAAATTAATACCTTCTCAGCTTGGCATCGAAGCTAAAAATTATTATCAACTTATATGTAAAACTGATTTTTGTGAGAGATCAAAATTCTGTGGTCATTATTAAACCCAACCCTGACAAACATATTCAATTTTTTTTTATAACGGTACTTTCATATAAATGATCGTTTCAGAAAAAAAAATAAAAATAAATGAGAACATTTTTTCCTTCTCGCTCATTGTGATCGCCATGTATCATACGTTCATAAAAATATAATTGTTTACTTTTTAAAAAAGTACTCACAATATCTTTTACTTACATCTTTTAGAAGCGAAATTGAAATACATTAGTATCAACATTTTAACTCGCAATCATAACAGCAAACCAGCGACCTCAAGGTCGTCGCTGAACTGGTTCCTATTCAAACAACCCATAAAAATGTAATGGCCTATTCCAAAAATAAAACTGTTACACCTCCGACTATCAACAAATAATTGTCTAACTAAATGAATAACATATTTCTCATGGATTTCTACGATAATAACTGTCGTTGGATTACAATAGAGTCTAATAAACGTATCTAATATACTTCGCGGAAACCTAAAAAGTCATCTGATTATAATATATTTGTTTCGTTGAATGGATTCTTTCCAATCGTTCCAACTTTGACGATCAAATAATTATTTATTCAAATAAAAATACTCCATCTGATAGGTAATCTGGAATTGATATTATGAAAAATCGATTTTTTAATTCGATATCGTGAAGATCGTTTTTAATACGAATGGATTCAGTTTTACAAATATATCGTTGATATATATTTTTCTATTTATTGTATAATTCTTGTAAATAGTATTGTGATTTACTTAAAGTATTAAACTGTGTTTTTATGTTAAGTATATGGCTATTTTTTAAAAATATTTCTAAAAAAATACATTAATATATTAAGATTATTAAAAATTGATGAGAAAAATATCTCCATATTAAAAAAATATCGATTTTCAAATTTTTTAATCTGACCTAACATTTTTCGATTTAATTTATAAATTTTCTATCAAATCTTTTTTTAGTCGATTTTTTTATAGATTGATATTTTTGTTTCGACTTATATCGATTCCTAATTATCAAAATATCGACCACCACTACCTAATACTTATCCCATTAAAACATTAGATTAAAAAATTAACAGTAAAACTTAGAATTTTAAGCTTTAACAATAAATTTAACACTGAAAATATAATATAAATGAGCTATTTTACTATTTTCATAAACATCAAATGGAATGATAATCCATCATAAATGATAAAAGCAAATACACACTTAACACTAAAAAAAAAACGATAAAATTATAGATCTGAGATTACAATTCAATCAAGACGACAATAATCAATTATTAGAATGACCTAAATATTTATATTATTTTTAAACATTTCAGAAAATATAATAAACAGATAATATAAGGGACTAGTTTTAAAAAACTGTCATTGATTTGATTTTTAAATTATATGGACAAAAAACTTAACTTCCACTTATGATTAACCAAAATTAATTATATGGCGGAGGTGAAATGTTAGGTGTAGATATATTTGTATCAGCTACAGTTGCTGAATATGATGGTGGTGGTGGTGGGAATTTTTTCATGGAAAAATCATAATCTGGATGTAAAAGATTTTGTACGGCAAAGTTTGATTCAATATAATGTATAGTAGGTCTTGAAGAAACTAGTTTAAAGGTTAAGTACTTGTAACAGCTCCACATAACAGCAACAAAGTATCCCTAAAAATAATTTTCATTAAATTAATTTTTAACATATTTATTATTAATCATAGTTAAATATTGACGTTACTCCACAATATTTTAACAAATCTAATAACTTCTAATCTCTTAAATATTTTGCAAAATTTTTCTTCTTAATAATTTATGCATTCTTAGACTACATTAAAATCATATTTTTTATTATTTGTTTTTAATTTAAAAATAGCCATTTTTTTTAGCTTTTTTTTTTACAAAAAAATTTAGGATGTGTATTTGTTAAGTTATGCACCTTTTTTTTTAATATATTGAGTGGGTATAGCTTGTATTGGTGTATATTTATAATATATACTTCGACTGTGCTACATACTCACTCTATGTATTAAAATGCTTATAATTTGATGAGCATTTATCCTATAGTTAATATGAATCCGTCAGTTTTATGTGAGAAAACAACTAAAAAATAACTATTTAAAAAAATTAAAAATAGAAAACTAACTTTTTTTTTTTTATTATTAAAAACAAATAATAAAAAATATTATTTTAACGAAGTCTACTAATGCATAAATTATAATTAAAAAAAGTAACACAAAATATTTAGTACATCACTAGTCATTAGCTTATAAAATTTTAATTCAAAATTTATCAATTTTACCACTTGTATATATAATGCCACTAGGTCTGTATTATACATGTCAGATTACAACATTAAAAATAAATATAATCATTTTAACAAAATTAATTATTAATCAACGAATTTTATGTTCTCTATCTTAGTTGTCATATTTGCTCTTTGGCTTTTCTGGCACTTCAAATTTATTCCATTATATCTATTAAAACAATTTTGTGATCTGATATAATATCAGAAATATAGCCTGGCTGAATTGGTTTTTTTAATATTCTTGAAATTATATTTCTTTCTTCTGCCAGTAAGAACAATTAATGTTAGCATCTTCCACTATGAGTCCCTTGGATCGCCACATTATAGGCTAAGTGCCCTTCTCTTTATATAGATGATATTATAAATTAAATATTTTTTGAAGATTAAACCACAAGTAATTATGCTCAATCAATTTGGTTTTTTTCTGGGAGTAATAAATGGTTATGTACTAAAAATATATTTTTTTTTTAAATTTGTTTTATTTAAAGCATAAACCTTTTTATTTAAACCATCATAATTTTTAAAATACTATAACTCATAATTTCTATAAACTAACCTGGGATATAATTGACACTGCAAATGATAATATTATTATCAGAGATACATAATTTGGATTTAAAGAGGACACACTTTGCGGTACATAGTTAGATTCAGATTGTTTAATCATACGTTGTAAGTCAGGTAAATAACACAAATATCCCAATGCTGTCAATCTAAAAACAATATAAATCTAATAAATATTTTAAATTTTACTTTAAAATTAATTTTCATTAATTTAAACTATCAGACATTTTATTTAAGCTATCCACTATATTATTGAAATTTTTTTTATACATAATTGAATGTTAATACTCTTATGTTTAGATAGTTATCAAATTATAGAGCATTTAAAACTAAAGAATATAGACAAATCACACAAATATTTACTGTATAGCCATACATTACGTTATATATCAAACTTACGTAGTTACAAATAAATCGAATAATCTCATACAGAAAAATGGCATTAATAACTTTGGTTTTCCTTTGATTGCACCATAAATCATTGTTACTGTTATGAATATCATGCATAAAATTAAGATAGCAGCAAAATTTAATTCTTCTAAAAATAGAACCCAAATATTTAAAAAACTATTAAATACAGTAAAAACTTAAAATTTATTTTTTAAGAATAATAATCTAGACTTTTGTTTAATACTTACCATATCGCATCTGATGATTAACAAACATTCCATATGATAAAAGGTAATCTCGATCATTTTTAGTAGATACACCTATGAAGTTAGTCGGTGAAATTTCATCACTTTCATAATTTAAAAATGTTGGAATGTCTGTTTTTGTATTTACAACAGGGATATTTTGCTCAGCCAAAGCTATAGGTAAATCATTATGCTCAATTGAGTTAGTCCTTAATTGATAAGGTTTTAACAATTCAGGATGACGTAACAAAACAACCAACGTACTTAGAGCCAATAATTGCAACATCTATAATTCAAACACGAAACATCAAAATGAAAATTTACCAATTCAACGAATATTTTTAAATTTAAATTAATTACCAAATGCCAAAGACCAAGAAAAATAGTAGCAGTTCGTACATGACAACAGAGTAAACATCGCCACTCATTTTTTCGGCGTTCAATAAACTTGAGAGTTGTATTATTATTATGAGGAAGTTGTTGAGGCGTCATCTGTAAAACATTTTAATTATTTATTCAAATAAGTAATTATTTAAAATACAAATCAATTAATAAAACCACAATTTATAATTGTAATTATATGTATAATTGGTTATAAAAAAATAAGATAACTATGAATATAAAATAAATAGAAATTCATGTTGAATTAAATGTTTCCTTATGGCTAATATCCTTGAATACTTTAATATTAAAATTCCAGGAAGTTTACAAGAAGAGTGGGTATTGTGTAAAAGATTAATATGGATATTACAATTTGTATAAAATATTGAAGTATGAAACAAATCTTTAAATTCACAAGATAATAGTTATATATTAACTATAAACTATCTAAGTAAGAAGTAAAAACTAATTACTAATATACTTACTGTAGATATCAACAAGCCAAACAGTTTTTAATTTTCTCTTAAACTAAGATAAATTTGATAAATTAACTCCAAATATTAATAACATTTATCAAAAATCGTCATAAACTTTTATACATGTACAAATAGTATTGATTGATAAGTCGAGCACTAAAAATCGCAATTTACAATGTTTGTTTTTAGATATATTATGACATCATAGCAGCCATGATTACTTTTATTAAAAAACTATAGGTAGGTGCGCAGTATACTATCATTGTTTCGACTGCTAAAAAGTTTCAGAACACGAATCACAGATATAAATATTAATATAATATTATATTGATACCAATATCTCATAACATTAATACGAACTACAGACCTACACCATATATATATATCTATGCCTTACACTTAACTTCAACTTTATCCAACAATAGTTATAAGAAAAGTAGATAAATCCAATTTGGTTATGAGCATACCTTATATACAATATACTATTTATCGTATTCAGTTTATATTTAAACAGCTGATTAAAATTAAATTTACAGGTGTTCATCGGAGCAATATGGTTAAGAAACAAAAGGTAGTGATCCCCAATAATGTCTGTAAAGTAAGCTCCCAAAATTATTGTAATTATTAGTTACAATAAACAATGAATACAATTATTGTAACCAAAAATAAGAATTTGATTGCCACAATATTTAATAATGGATATTGGGTTACATTTTTAGTTTTTTAAGGGGTTTACTAGTTAATATAATTTATTTTAATGTAATGAGTAAAAACCCATTTTATTTTATATTTTAAATTTATTAAATTATCATATACGTAATCTTTATCGTAAATTTTTATCAAATAAAAATTACTACTCTCCTTTTGAAAAATAAATGTAATTTTTAGAATTTTACTATATTAATTCAATTAAATATTAATTGTATGAATATATTACCCTTTTATAAACAAAATAACTAATTTTTGTGAATGAACAAAGTATAAATAATTACCAGTTAACAATTTTTTCATCGGATTTAAACTTCATTAATAGATTTAAAAAAATCCTTTTTTTGATTTATAAGAAAATTATCAAATCATCAATCATTAATGCTTAAATTTTATATTTGGTTTTTGTACATCTTTATGCAATAGATAAAAAAGAATCATCATCATCACCACAGCTTCTATTCTTACTATTTGAAGTCGGCTGTATCTTAATTATTTGACTGAATTTTATACCGGTTGTCAACCTTTATATCTATATATATTTCGTTGTTATATATTTTTATAGTATAATAATTATAATATTATAAGGTAGAATAATAATTAATAAAAATTGTACAATGTTAATGATATTTTATTTTATAAGTATACAACTATACAAGAACATATTTGTAATTACTTCTTGAAATCTTACATGACAAGAAATTTAACCAACACCTTCTTATCAATTAGTGATTGGGCGCTGGATCTCATGAGCTAAATTCACCGATATTCTTTGGTGATCCAATGCTGGCATTCATCTCAACAGATTAGAAAACAATATCGAGACACAGAATATATCTTATCTATTCTTTGATTAAGCTATAACTTAACAGCTGAATTCATCTAATAGTAATTGATAAAAATAATACAAGTATGTAACGCGAACTACCAGCTAGGATAGGAGACTTATAACCCACTGTTTAAATAAGTTCAAATATAATAGGTATTATTTCAATTTTTTATTTTTTATTCCTTTTACCGTTCTAAGAAAGCTTCTCTCAGNAAATACTATAATATTTCATGCTTTCTAGAATTTAAACTCTTATTTTAGATACCTAAATAACAAGTATTAGTTTGTATTACAATTTGTGATCAACAAAAAATGCTGATATTATACTGGAATTATAGTTGATACGAAGTTAACTATATATATCTTACAAAAATGCATCAAGTTGAATTCAAACCTGAACAACATAAAAAGTATTTTCGCCGTTCATTAGATATATTACCTAGTGAATCTGCTATGTTTGATTGTTCTCGTCTGACCATTTTATATTTTGTACTTATTGGCTTAGATGTATTAGATGGTTTAGATTTATTGACAGAAGAACATAAACGGAGTATAATTGAATGGGTTTATGGTCTGCAACTTGTACCAAGTGAAAATGTTCTGGATCATAAATGTGGTTTTATGGGTTCAACTACAGTCATTCATTTAAAAAATTATCCAAGTTGTGAGAAATACTGTGAAAGCAATGTTGCTATGACATACATGGCACTATGTATTTTAATAACCTTAGGAGATGACTTGAGTCGTTTAAATAAAACTGCTATTCTTCAAGGAGTTGCTGCACTTCAAAAACCTGATGGAAGTTTTAAAAGTAATTATGAATATGGTGAAAGTGATTTAAGATTTGTTTATTGTTCTTTAGCTGTTTGTTTTATATTAAACGATTCATCTCTTATTAATGTCAATAATACTATTCATTTCATTTCTAAATGTTTAAACTATGATGGAGCATTTGGACAAAATCCAGGAACAGAATCACATGGAGGATCTACTTATTGTGCAATTGCATCTTTATCTTTACTTAACAAGCTAAATGATGTAATAAACAGTAAAAAATTAAAAATTTTGGAGCGTTGGGCTGTTAATCGTCAAATTAATGGTTTTCAAGGTAGACCAAATAAAGATCCAGATACGTGTTATTCGTTTTGGATTGGTGCTACACTCAGAATTATAGGATCATTAGATAAAATAAATAAAGAAAAAAACAAGGATTTTGTATTAAATAATGCTAATTTCTTGACTGGTGGATTTAGTAAAGATATGGATTCCATACCAGATCCAATGCATACATGTTTAAGTCTTTGTGGATTAAGCCTCGTTGAAATGGAAGGATTGAGTCCAATTAATCCAGCTTTAAACATCACTGAGAGAGCAACAAATCATTTAAAACAAATACAGCATTAAAACTATTTAGCCGTATTATATAAAATAAAGTTTACTTATAATTATTTCATTTGTATGGGTTGACTGATAAATTTCTTGTTTTGTATTATTTTTAAAGGCTTAAAAATTGTCTTTAATATATAAAAGGTTGTAATTTTTTTTATTTTAACATTTTTAAACCCATCTTCTTTAAATAACTAACCTATCTGCATATATTTTATGAAGATATTGCTCACAATTATCTTGTATGAGCTTATATGATCCTGTATAGTCACTAGTCTATAAATTGATATTCAAACAAAATAAATATTAGAAAAAATCATTTCATGTTTAGTATTCTGAGTTATTTCAGTGAATATTAATCTAAGTAACTAATTTTTAACTGTAAAATATTGCAACTTGAAAATTTGAATGCTTTCTATTATAATGTTTATTTAACATAAGTTTAAAACGATGAGAGTTCTTAAAATTCTCAAGTTAAAAAAAAAGAAATGTTGATATTCTGAATTATTTATTTATTTCATTTTTTAAATTGTATGTCCAATGATGCAAAAAATTATTTAAAAAAAGCATGTTAAAGTAATAATTTTGATTAATTACGCTAATAAAATGCAAATAAAGAGACCAATATCTATTTTGGGGGAAAGTAACTATTTTATATTGGTAACAAACACTGTAAGGAACAGAGTGGTGTTGGTGGAAATGCTATTATCAGTTAGGAGACAATTGGGCACTGTATTATCATTGTAAATTGTGGTATATAATTTCAGAAGGTTAAAATTCTTGAACTTAATCTCTATTAAAATTGTATCTTTAAATGAAAAGTTAATTGATATTAACATTAATTATTACTTTAAATATTATTTTACTTTAATAAATTAAGGATTAATAGAATTATCTCGTATAAAATGAGCTTTGTAGCCTTAGCCAAATTAGGTAAGTCATTAATGTCATCAGTTTAGTCAATTATAATTTAACAATAAACTTTACTAAAGTTTAAAAGAACAAAATTTATGATAAGAATATCAATATTACTTTTAATATTCTTAAATAGTTTGTTCGTTTTTACTTGAACAACTATTAAACAAGCAAATAAATCATTACATATTGATCAATGTAATATACTGTGATATGATAAACTAAATATATTTTACAGAATTCTTAGAATTTTACTTTATAGTAAATATATATATAAATGTATATTGTAATATTCCTCTAAACCAATTTGTTAATTTTTATACAATGAAATTGTTAAAAGGTTAAGTACAGACATTTTTACAACTTGCATGTAAACTATAAAATATACATAAACCTCTTAAATGAATGCTTTGGTTTTTTTAGGCAAACCTGTTGTACGATCATCTGCATGGTTACCATTAAAATTAGCATCTAGAACCAATTATGTGAATGTTAACAGAGATGACGAATTTGAAGATGTTAGCTGGAGCAAGCTTTCTGATGAAGCTATTTCATATGCCTTTACCACTGAATTATTCAGAGGTATTTTTTTTTTAATAATAATATTAATTTTATAAATGAAGTGTTCTCTGTACAAAAAACCTTTACCTAATTTTTAGTTATTAAAAAAAACGTAAATTAAAAATTTTAATTGTATTATTGTAAAATATATCAATTAAAAGTATTTTACATGATTGTATTAATATTATAAAACTGGTAATTAAATTATTTTTTCATAGAGTTAATGTGATATCAGTTATTTTTTATTTTAGATCAAAAATTATACAAGTAAGTTACTTATCTCTAAATTCCCAGGAATCCTATAAAATTCTGACGAGCAGGAAATTTTGTATTTTTAGAACTTTTTGTTGACTTTTTATTTTGTTTTCAATTTACTATCATTAAAAAGACATTGGACATATTTATGAGCCCAATACTACCTCATTTAACTTTTTTTGAATAATAAATATTAGGAAACATTTAAACTTTCTAACTTCTCTTGCTTAATTTGCCGCTAAGATAACAATCATACTTCTATGAGTATAGTTTAAATTGTTTATGTTATTTTATTAATATATTTACATATTAATATCCAATTTCAAAATAACTATTAACTATATACAATCATTTTTAATTTAATAATATTTTGTATTAAATGAATAAAAGATATTTTATGTATTATATATTAAGATTCAGATTAGTTTTTAATTTAAAATGAAAAGGATGGTTCATTATTAGCCAAATATATAAAATGGTTCATTGGAGGATTTAAAATGTAGTGTTCGAGCTAGAAATAACTAATGAGGTAGATGAGCAATTAAACCGAGTGGAAATTTTAAAATTAATTTAGGAAGGGAATTGAGGATAATCTATATTATTATTCAAAAGAACTTTAAGGAAGGATTTACCATAATTATGTCCATGATAATGAAATTCTTTTAACTGAAGTATACTTAAAATTTTACTCAACATTATTTTTCAAAAAATGCTTTCCAAAAAGTATTATTTTATATTTTTTGTTTAGGTGCTGCTGTATCATTAGCTCACTTTTTCAAAGAACCTGCTACAATTAACTATCCATTTGAAAAAGGGCCACTATCACCACGTTTTCGAGGAGAACATGCACTTCGACGCTATCCATCAGGAGAAGAAAGATGCATTGCTTGTAAACTATGTGAAGCTATTTGTCCTGCACAAGTAAGTTAAATAAAACATATAAATTTAATACATATTTAATTATATAATTTTATGATTATTGTTTATAATAATAATTTATATATATATTTTTTATTTTTTTTTTTTTTTGTAAAAATATTTTAATTGTTATTTTTGTCATTTTCTTTTGTTATTACAATTATTTAATAAATAATTACAATTTTTTTTTTTAATGATGATAGTGTTGAAGTTGAAAATATTTTTTTTAATTAAAAAATTAAGATTCTATGTTTGTATAACATATGTTACTAATAATCAAATAAAAAATATTTATATAAATGTTTCTATGCCATATTAAATATATATATATATAAACTAATCCTTTGACATAAAGCTTGGTTATTAGCAATTATATTTATTCCTATTTTTAATAGGCTATAACAATTGAAGCTGAAGAAAGAGCTGATGGAAGTCGTCGTACAACTCGTTATGATATTGATATGACTAAATGTATTTACTGTGGTTTTTGTCAAGAAGCATGTCCAGTAGATGCCATTGTTGAAGTATTATAAAGTTGATGGTTTTTTTTTATATATATTTAAAATTATTGTTTTATCTTTTAGGGGCCAAATTTTGAATATTCAACAGAAACCCATGAAGAACTTTTATATAATAAAGATAAATTATTGAATAATGGTGACAAATGGGAATCAGAAATTGCAGCTAATATCTATGCTGATCATCTTTACCGTTAAAATAAAAGAAGTTTTAGTGAATAATTGTTACATAAATTAGTTTTGTTTCTTTACAAAATAATTATAATGAATAAATTAAAATAATTAATTATAATTCTATTTCCAAATAATTTATGGTTTTTTTTGGTCCTCTATAATGATTGTAAAATTATATGGCATATTAAGTATAATATTTATTATGAATAGAAAATTGTCATTGTAGACTAGCTTACACTTATATTTATAAATTTAGTTACTTTGAATGCAAAAGGAATAAGTGACATTTAAAAAAAATGGTGAGTATAATGAGCATTTAAACTAAAAATTAGAAATTTAATTTAAAAAAAAAAAAAAATTTTTAATACTCATGGAAATTATACAAAATGGATTTTATTGTAAAATAAATTTATTATATAATTTTATTATAAAAAACAAAAACTTTAAAGTTGATTTTATTAAAATTAAAAAAAATTGTCTAGTACCTCTTGCATTCAATAAACCTCAATTATTATCTACCAAAAACAACAATTTAACTACAAATAGACAATAATAGATTCTTTATGTCTGAAATAAAATATATAAATTACTTGTTTCACTTAAAAACTAGCTCACTGCTAGTATACAAGAAAAATGACAGATTTAAACAATTTGTCTATGGCTTTGGACTAGTGGTAGATCTAGAAATTATTTATAGGATTGGGATAAAAAAATTAAGAGTTAAGTTAAATTATTGTAAATAATTTATAATTAATTGCCAAGTAGCTAATATTACATGGATTAATAAAAAGAAAATTAAGAGTTAAATAAAATGTTCCAATTTTAAATACAAATAATTTATTTAATGCACCAATGAATCGCATATTGAAGGATAGTTCTTTCTATAACAATCTAATTATGTGCTGCATTTAAGCATACATTTGATTAAGATTTTGATGTTTCCAATCAAAAAAATCATATTTGATACTTTTGTCGAAAGTGAATTATCAAAGTTTTGATAAAAGCAACTTATTGATAGAGCCGAATATCATATTTCCAAAAAAATTGCTTTTACAGCCTTTTGGAAGCATTGATATCATTTTTAAATGAATCATTAATCCCATGATTTGTAAACAAAATGTTTGAAGTGGATACTAAAATTTTTGTATTAAGATCTCACCATATTGAGTATTCGGTAAGGGAGGAAACAGGTTTCTATTATTTTCATTGTTTGTAACAACTGACCCGTTTCCTTAATTACTGATCACTCTGTAGAGTAAGACATAGATAATTACTCAGATCTTAATTGTAATAATTTAAAATATGTTAACAATTACTAAAAAAAAATTAGGCAAATGAATATTTCTACTGTACCATTAACATAAACAATAAAAAAAATGTTCAATTATTTCACCAATAATATTACCTATACTTCTAAAAAATTGGTTAAGTTTCAAAAATTGAAAAATATTATTTGTTTTTGTTTCTGTAATGAACTATACCCAAGCCAGGTAAACCAAAAAACATGGTAACGTCATACAGACCCATCAGCTTGTTGCCTACTTTAGGAAAACTATTCGAAAAATTACTTCTTAAAAGAATTCGGCCTATATTAAAAGAAAATAACATTATACCTAACACTCAATTTGGATTTAGAGCGAAGCACTCAACAATTCATCAAGTGCACAGGTTGACCGACACGATTGCCTCAGCATTAGAAAATAAACAATACTGCACCGGTCTATTTTTAGATGTCGCCCAGGCATTTGATCGTGTCTGGCATAATGGTTTGCTCTATAAATTAAAAAAAATGCTTCCAGCGCCATTATACTTAATTATTAATTCTTATTTACAAGAAAGAAAATTTACCGTCAGGCAGGGTAGTGTTAATTCACCATATTNATATATATATATATATATATATAAACTACTTAATATATAAAAATATTTGTTGATAAGTTGATTTTTTTGCTTTGAATATTGAATATAAAAACATAGGGGCTACCTGACAAACTTACCCCTTTCCTAAAATGACACCTCCAAAATTACGAACATTTATTGAATAAAAATATTTTTAGGGTGTGTGAAAATTTAATTTACACCTTCAAAAAGTTGTTTTAGTGTGCCTATGTGTAAAAATTTATTTTAGTTATAGAGATATAGAGAACTACCATACATTATTATAATACAGAATTTTTAGAATAAAATTTTTTCTATGGTAACTATTGTTAGACTGACAATTTTGATTTTTAAATAGAATATTACTTTAGCGATTACTAATTAAAAAATTTTGTGTATGCCATTGAAATCACTAATATCAGAAAACGATAGGGATATTCCTACATTTTTAACCATTTAGTAGACCTAAAAAGAAGATATTTTTTCTAACTATAAAGAGTAGAACAGATCTAATTAACAACTCTTATAAATTTTGATATAATATATAAATAAAATATCGTTGTATTTTTTTTAAACAACTTTTTTATCCATAAACTACGTTAGAAGAATTTATTTTAATTAAAAAAAAAAATTGTAGCACAGTGAGGTCGCGGTACACAATATGGAAGTGACATAGTTAGGACAAGTATATATGATATCTGACAGTGATTAAAATCACTTGTACATCAAGATAATAATTACATACGCCGGACCAGCATGGGCATCAAACGTTTCAAATACAAATTGGAAGTGAATCGAAGCAACACAGAACATCAGCCTCCGATACATTACAAAATCACCTATATTCGTGTCAAAATATACTATCCGACAATCGGCTAATACAACGACAATAAAAGACCAGATTACACAAGAAACAGTACGATTCTTTCTCAAAAACAGCTGTTCAACGCACGAACACATCCGCGAACTTGGAAGGAAAACACATTCACCAACAGCAACATTAACCACAGGGAAAACGCAACCGATCAAATGGATACAATAAAACAAGTAAGTACAAACTAATCATAAATCTTATACAACTTGTTATAGGTGCCCGCCTGACACAAGTAAATAGGCTTTACGCCGCCCATCAGCAAAAGCAAAAAAGTTAAAATCATTATCATAAGAAACGCTTCGATGCAAATCTGTAGATAGTGTTTAATTTTTAAGAAATTGGTAGATTATTTCAATAGCAACAATAATTCTTATTCCCTTAATTTTATCCCGATTAATTATTTGATTTATAATTATAATATATGAACAAATAATAATTAAGTAATTAAATTTAGCATGAAATTGATATTCAATAATTTAATATTGTAATACTTTTCAATAAAAAATGTTTGTTATTTATAACAAAGTTATAAGTTTTATATACAGGACTACAAGGAACTTTCATCAGAAACAAAAATATACTATTCTAAATCAACTTTTTGCAATGTTTTCAAATGTGCAATTAGACTTTTTCTATCATTTATAAGTTTTAATATTAATAATATTATAAAAAAATAAGTATTTATAAATAAAAAAAATAATTAAAAACAACAAAAAATTGTTTTAAATTAATACTGATTTTGATTATTAATATGTTAAAAATAAGGAAAATGTCATATTTAACCTATATTTTTAATCCATTAAAGTTAATTTTTGTGAAAGTTTATAGTAAAAAATAATTAATTTATTACCTTAACTTTTAGCTCAATTTGCAAGTTTGAAATTGACATCATTAAATAGAAAACTTTATGAAAATTCAAAAAATTGTATCATTAAGATAAATATAAATATGCAGTCAGAAAGTTTTATAATTACAATTTATAGTAAATTTATCAGAAAACCTCAATATTTTTTCGTATTTTTATCGTAATAGAAAACTTAAATAGAAATAATAGTAATCATTTCCTAGTAACTTTTGGTGTTTTAAAAGATTCTACAATTGTAGTATTCAGAACTTAGTTAATTTTAATGATTTACTTTAACAAAAAGAACAATCAAAACAAAGTTGTTAAAATGATTTACTCAATTGAGCGCATTACAAAATTTGGTTATAATTGTAAAAATCCATTGTTAATTCAGAAGAAACTAACAATCATTTTTTATATAGCATGTTTTATATAGCAATGTGTTACCAAAAAATTTGGAATATTGTAGTCTAGTAGTAGACCTCACCTAAAGCAATACCTCACGGTAGTTCCAGGGCGACCGACATTATGTCGACCGTGGAGAAAAAAAGTCTAGTAGTAGCACACACAAATAGAGTAAAAAATTATTAAATTACAAAATAAAATGATTAAATTTTGTAGTTAAAATCTATCATATCAAACTTAATTCGTCAATAAATACTTTGAAAACATTAGAAATTAATGATTTTAATTGTCTGTATGGAGAACATGGGATAAGTAACTGTTTAATTGATAGATAAGAATTTTTTTTCAATTTTTGAGGGCAATATCTTCAACTAATTATAATCATTTCACGTATCATTGAAAAACGTAGGTCAAGTTAGAGCAAAGAAAATAAATGATAGTCACAAAAAATACCATCTCAGCTTTGTTTCGAAGCTAAAACCTGAAATATAGTAAAATAATTTTAATATGAATAAGAAATTTCTTCTCACGAGGGGCGACTACATTGATGGGATCCTTGATCTTTATTGAAGTTATTGAATATAAATGAGATAAAAATTAAAGGAGTTGAAAATTTATTCTAACTTAAAAAGAATTAAGAAATAAATGCAAAAAATTCCTTGCCATATGCGGATTAGAATGTTGTACCCCAAGAGCGTAAGACACAACATTTACCGATTCGGCAACCGTACGTCGCTACCGTAGGCTGAAAAAAATGGCTATTTAAGCTAGTTCAAATTTCAAAGTTATTTTTCTGTACTTAAAAAAAGCAAAAAAATTTAAATAAGTTTAACTTTCTATGCTTTATCAATTTGATTTATATAATATTTATGAAAATCAGTGTTCTCCTCTTGTCAGGGATTTTAAAATAAAATAAAATACTAAACCCAGAATTTTAACACAAAAATAGCATATTTTTAAATACGGTAGTTATTTTCATCATGAAAACAAATCCAGAGGTCAATTTTTTTGTTTCAAATTAAAGTATATTACATAAGCTTTAATTTAACTTATATATAAAAGTGTCAGTATTTCCAAAATATTTTCAAAAGTTAAGTTGAAAAAGTTTATTTTTTGTGAAAAAGTTGCCAGTTTGAGACCCTTCCTGTGGGCTGGTTAGGGGTCAAATGTTCACAAAAATCTATCAAAAGATAGATAAGGTATTTATAAAAAAAATATATATATTGATTTGGTCATTTTTAAAAAAGTTATGGCAGTTTTAAGTAAAAAAAATTGAAAAAATGTTGAAAAATAGCGATTTTTAAGTTTGTAATTTTTTGAGGGTTTCCCACATTTACAGGGAACGAGAGAAATTTTTTCAATTTTTGAGGGTAATGTCTTCGACAAGATACGATTTGTGATCTTTTGACGTATTGTTTATGAAAATCGGTCCAGCAAGAGCTAAGTTTGTTCACAGCTACAAAAAAAATAAATAAATAAAAAAGTAAAAAAAAACACATCATAGTAAAATTAATACATTCTCAGCTTCGCATCGAAGCTAAAAATAACAAGAGAGGTATCTAGCGCAGGTGAGTACAACTTGAGGTGATGTATATTCACTAGTAATACATACGAGTGAGTATGTATCAAAATGATTGTAAATTAATGAATACTATCCCAAGTTATTTTAAAAAAAATAATTAAAAATCATAAAAAACATATTTTTGTTATTAAAAATATACAATAATTAATATGATTGTATCGTAATCTTAGAATGCAAAAATTGTTTAAAAAAAAATTACAGTGAAATGATTATTGAATCAAAAGTTGTTCTACTCTGTGTAAAGAGTTAGAATAAAACAAACTCATTTTACATCACTAAATGTTATCCTAAACAAAATACATTAACATTTTCAAAATAAAATCGATCAAATAAGCTTAGTCCCTTAGTGTCAGTCAATATTATTTATCATTATACCAAGTTTGTAGATATCTACACTAAAATAGTAATAGTAATAGGACATCATACATTCATGGGATTTAGCAGGAAACAGGATATCCGATAACAGATGGCAGATGGGCAACAAATTACAATCTATTGTGTTACCAACTACTGAACTGATGGCGACAGGTGAATTCATTCGTGCGTTGACTTTAAATTATAATAGAAATATGTAACAACGTAATACCTGTTTATACATTTCAGTTTCATTCGAAAAACGCGCCTACATTGAATAACAAGCATTTGACTTAATACATTATAAACTTTTTTCATTTGTAAAATTAATTTTTAGCAAGACATTTTGCATAATTTAATAATGAATGAAGATATTCGTCATCAACATTTACCTCAGTCATACGTGGTTAGAGAGCTGGGCTCTTCTGAAGCTAGAGGCTTATGGGGTATTAAACATACCCGTAAACCCGTAGATTTAATGGTGGCAAAAGCTAAATTGTCTTCGTCACCATTACCACCTCTAGTTGAACTACGAATATCAGAAGAAGGATGTGAGGTGATCAAAGAAAAAAAAACAGCATTTTTTCCTATTCATACAGTTTCATATGGAGTTCAAGTAAGTTACCTTTTTTTAATAAAAATGTAATAATAAAACTTTTGTAAAAGTAGCATAGGGCTGCCCTCAGCCCGTCTAAAACGGTGATGTTACTTTAAAAAATCCCCCAACAATATTGTACAAGAGTGAACAGACTTAAAAAAATTTAATTTAGCACAACTTTTTATAGGCCTAATAACTTATCATACCACAGCGACCTATCGAATTACAAAGCATAACAAATTTAGATTATTATGATAATTTTTTTAATAAGACTATTAAAGTTAGTGTTTGTTAAGTAAGATGTTAAATGTAAGATAAAGCAAAATTTTCTAGTAATGCTTCTTCCTGCAAGGAAGAAGGGGGTATTAGAGAGGTTAATTACTTAGTCCTGAAATATTTAGGAACGATTAATTAATGAGTCTTAAATTAATTTTTTTGCAATGTGTATCGGTGTAGATCTTAACTGACCCGGATCTAAAAATTTGCGCAACCTTATGAAAAGTGGGGCCCTGTACACGTATAAATATATCACATTAAAAAAATAATAATGTAGTCTAGTTTTAAATAACTTTAATTACAGGATTTAGTTTACACACGGGTATTTTGTATGATAATCGTTAAGAATTCGACGTCACCTGACAGGAAGCCATTCGATTGTATTGCATTTGTTTGTGAAAGTCGAAATGCTGCAAGAAGTTTAACATATGCTTTAGCAGCAGCTTTTCAAGTAATGTTATGTTTTTAATTTCTTATTAACTTCATTATATTTTTTAGTCATAAATCAATTCTTAATTAATATTTTGTGTAATTTAGGCATACAGTAGAAAAGTGCGTTATACTGGTTCATCAAAATCTCGATTTGCTATTGATTTAAGAACCCCTGAAGAATTAGAAATGGAAGTTAAAAAAGTTGACTCTGATGCATAATATCATTTGAGTGTATTGTATTTTTTTTATTATTAATTTTTACTTTATTTTTTGTTAATTTTATTTAAAATAATAAAAATTGTTATGTCACATTTGATATTAAAATAAATAAATATATAAATTTTTTATTTGCCACTATTTTTTACGTAAATTTTACTTAAAAAATTTTAATATGCAATCATAGGTGAAATAGGTGGAAGCTTTGGCTACATAGCACCCATAAGTAGATTTTCTTATTCTTTTAAAATATTGTAAGGAAAAACTGAGTAATTCTTTATATATAATATCTACTGAATGATTATTAAAGGATAAGATACTCATTTTTTTTAAATCATTAAAAATTGTTTATTTTCGTAAAGGAATATTTCAATTTAGGCAAAATTAAAAAAATAAAGTGATTGTTTCATTTAACAAATTTTACAATTGCATATTGTCAAAAATTTTTTGTTTAAAGATTTGAATTTGAAATACAAATTAATCATTAATTGTATATTTATAATACCGGAAGCTACAATAATCTGTTTAAATGGCCATAAATTATTATTCTGCTAGTTGTCAAGAAAATGTGTTGCACACCAGTCATTCAACAATATACGATACTGAACTTGCATTGAATATGAGAGCATGCGTCTATTAATATTAATAGACATGAATTATTAAGTATAAGATATCTGTATGATGCATGAGCGTTATCACAAGGGGATACGGGAGATTAAACCTCCGTGATAAAAATAAATAAACATTTATGGTAAATATGTATTTTTTATGTAAGTGGAGAGTAAAACAATTTTATATGTATATTTCCTCCCGAGATAAAACTTAACAAGAAAGAACGCCACTAGTATGATAATAATAACAAGTTGTACTTGACGAGTACTGTATGCTAAACATCAAATTATCAATACAAAATTGGTCATAAACAAATTAGCAATAACAGAAAGATAGTTGATCGGACAAAATTTTTTGAAATTATATCATTAAACTAAAAATAGGGGTCCTGATTAAAGAAAATAAATAACTTAACATACATTTAATTATTAATACATTGAAATTTTAAATTAAAAAAAGACTTGTCTATCTTGGTCAGTTAACTCCAGTGTCTTGTGTCGTTCATCAGTCTCAGTACTCGGTTGTCGCTGTTTGGCTTACTGTATAAAGTCAAGTTTTTGTTCTTTCTTTTTTAACCTACCTACTCTCTTCCTCAACATTTCAGAGTATTTGTGTGTTGCACTTCGTCTTCACCTCATACTTAGGGCACCTTTTGAGTACACCTGGTATTTGTATCTTGTATTTCGTCTTCACCTCATACTTAGGGCACATAATTATTGATCCATACATTTTTTATAAAGTTATAGCACTTTAAAGTAAAAAAACCACAACATCAGGTTCTCACTAAGCCCATCGCCCTTCTTTTATTTTCATTATTTTTACTTAACTATTGTTTTATATTTTTGAATTATAACAATTTTCACATAATAATAGCATTTGGTAGCCATTTTCACCGTGAAGATAAAATAAAGTCCGAAATGTTTTTTTCGCATAATAAAGTAGATTACATTAACTTTAATTTAAGATATAAATAAAAGTGTCAGACTTTCCGGAACAGTTTCAAAATTTAAGTTGAAAAAGTACATTTTTTGTGAAAAAGTTGTCATTTTAAATCCCCCCCTGTGGGCAGGTAAAGGGTCAGATATAAAAAAAATATATACCAAATGATAGGTAAAGACATCATGCATCTATAAAAAAAAAATTATATTGATCCATACATCTTTCAAAAAGTTATAGCATTATAAAGTTAAAAATATAAAAAAGAATTTTTTTACAAAAATCGTATTTTTTTTTATAAACTTTGATGTCTGTTTTCACCATGAAGATAAAATAAAGTCCGGATTTTTTTTTTACCATAATAAAGTATATTACATTAGCTTTAATTTAAAATATATATAAAAGTGTCAGACCTTCCGGAACACTTTCAAAATTTAAGTTGAAAAAGTTCTTTTTTTTACGTGCATTTTTTAGATTTGAACCCCCCTCGTATATAGGGAAATGGTCCGATTTAAAAAAACAGTATGTCAAATGAAAGATGTATATGAATACTACTCCTCATAAAAAAATTGTACTGATCCATACATTTTTCAAAAAGTTATAGCATAATAAAGTTAAAAATGTAAAATACAAAATCGAAAATTTTCACACAAAAATAGCATTCGGTAGCCATTTTCACCGTGAAGATAAAATAAAGTCCGAAATTTTTTTTTTGCATAATAAAGAACATTACATTAGCTTTAATTTAAGATATATATAAAAGTGTCAGACCTTCCGGAACATTTTCAAAAGTTAAGTTGAAAAAGTTAATTTTTTGTGAAAAAGTTGTCATTTTAAATCCCCCCTTGTGGGCAGGTTAAGGGTTAAATTTATGAAAAAAATATACCAACTAAAAGGTAATGATATTATGCATCTATATAAAAAAGAATTATATTGATATGTTTATTTTTGAAAAGTTATGGCACTTTTAAGTAAAAAAAATTGAAAACATTTCGAAAATTAGCGATTTTTAAATTCGTAATTTTTTTGGAGGTTTCCCCCATTTACGGGGAACGAGGGAATTTTTTTCAATTTTTGAGGGTAATGTCTTCGACTAGATACAATTTGTGATCTTTTGACGTATCATTGAAAGAAATCGGTTCGGTGAGAGCTGAGAAAAAGTGGTAACAGACACAAAAAAAAAA